GGCTGGGTCATAAGAATTTCCCTTTTTATTTCTTCTGCAATCGCACGAAAGAACTGTAAAACGGTCAGCTTAATATTGATCGGGGCTCTACCTGCCCTCTGTACGCATTTCATTCCATTTAACGACTGTAGCTTTACGCCTCCGACCCTGGGTTACCATACTACATATTTTCAGAATACCCTGAACGAATTTTCACGGGATTATGAGCAAGAATTTCAGAAATTCCATTACCGAAATCGTAAAAGATTTCACTAACAAAACGAACCTTTAAATTGTGGCGGGTAACTATCTCAGAACACAAGATATTCGACAGATAGTATTTGATAATAAATAATGGTATTTGATAAATAAATATTTACTAACAATCACGCCACGTTTACTGGTCCCGTGATAAGTTCGTAAAGAACTTGTGTTACAGGTACCAGATAACGGATATAAATGTAAGATTATTATTATACACATACATATATTTAATATACATCCATAACCCTGGAAAAGACATTTATATTTATAGATATTATAGAACCCGCGACACCCTTGTGTAGTGACCATGTCACTTACCACTACACCAGACGGCCGTTACGACATTTTCAAGATAAGCTTGCATTAGTCCCGAACAACAACACTCCAGTTAGAGCTCCGTGAGCTCATCTACAGGTCAAGGAGAAGCTGAAATAGCCTCTCAAGGCTATCAGCATAGGTAGAAAAAATAAATAAAAAAAAAACATTCATGACCCTCGGTCTTCCGAGCAATATCACCCGCTTGGTGGAAGATCTTCCCTTTGTTGTATACATCCCAACTGGTGACCCCGACGTAATATAAACACGCCCAAAACTCAACATTGACTGTGAAGTGGATTATTTAATCCACTTAATCCTTAATTAAGGAGATGTTTCGTTAACCTCTTGATGTTAAATGGTTGCTAGAGACCATAGACTGGGCATCGTAAATGCATGTTATCCAAGACATGAAGCAGACATTACAATTTTAATGTATAACGGCTGTCTCACCCTTAATACCGAAATGCATGTCAGCATTGCGACAGAAATAGGCAAGATCGTGGTATTTAAGTTATTGATTCAAAATTTACATCCTAAATTCTATAGCATTATGCATAAGTCACGACAAATAAATGTTGTTTAAGGTAGAGTCCTCTATTTCTGAATTTTGCGAAGTTTATCTCTTACTATTTTCATTGATGATGATAGACTGTTAAGGCACAAGGTGATTGATATCAGTGAACGCTGATGATAAATCACTCATGATTGGGTATTTCGTGCAGCACCCGACAATAAATATAGCACATCCACTATTGAAAAGAGATAGGATAATTTCAATTTTTTTATAGCATTATCTCTATCGCACGAAAAACAAACAGTCCCGTATTTATTAGGATCGCCCACCACCGTATTTGGACTGCGATTGACAAACGTCACATAGGTAGTGTGCGACAGAGATAACGCTCTACAGAGCCGAAATTAGCCGATTGTCTCTTTCCAAAAGTCGCTGTGCAATATTTATCGCCGGGTACTGGAAATACGCGAAAGGTATGATCATTGTATCTGGTTATTATTTCCGAATAGGTGGATTTTAGTTTAGGCGGGATAAAATTGCTGGCCTTCCGCCTACGTGTTAGAGGCAGTAGACTTGGCACGTTGCAATTGAACCTATTAAAGCTACCAGCCGCTCAATAGCCACATGGTACGTGGCGGCATTTATGAATGGGCTAAAGGGAATGGGCTCCAGTAACCAAAACAGATACGGGCTGTTCGAGCTGTAAACGCGGGCTTGTACTTTTATTCTTATCGGCTTGGCTCTGCTCCTGGCATTGATGACGTCAATGACGGTAACCACTCAGGTGGGTCGTATGCTTCTGCCTACAGGGGCAATACAAAAAAATGCGGCATCATTCCTAAAAAAATGTATTATTAATTACAATTGATCACATTAAACATTTTTCGGTAGATTGTGACTTAGCTGTGCCCGGGGTATTGTTTGACTCCTGTTAGTCACTGCGACTACAAATCATCAGGTGAGCTCCATACCCAATCCTGTAGACCGAATGGTAAACAGTCAACGTCACCCAAAACACGTCATTACGGATCCTCCCGATCCATTAACGGTGCTTTTAGGCACCACAAGCACCGGTCACCGTCCTCGTCGAACCCGATGCTTGCGAAGAAGGGCTCGACGAGTAAATTAACCCACAGACACAGCCCACTGAGTTTCTCGCCGGATCTGCTCAGTGGGTCGCGTTTCCGATTCGATAGTAGATTCTGCGAAGCACTGCTCTTGCTATGGTCAGTGTTAGTATCACTCCGGTTTGAGCCCCGTGAACTCACCGTCTAGTTAAGGTTACGCTGAAATAGCCTCTCAAGCTTAGGTAGGGAAAAAAAAGGAGAACTGTATATTAATACGCTTATGCAATGAATAAAAGTGAAATGAAGTGAAAAGTGATGAAGTGATTTCAATCTTTTTTCTTAAGTTTTTTTTGTCATTTCTTTGCAACCCCATACGCTTTGATAAAGCCAAATGAGGCATAGTGAGAGTACAGCAGGCTTCAGGCGGAAAAATCGCGCTCGGCTTATTCTTACAAACAGATACTTCTTTGTAAAAAGTTTCTTAAAGATTTCCGTTAAGTAAAACACGTAGCTTTGCTTAAGCATTTTCTTGATAAAAGGTTTGTGATTTTGGATATTTTTTTTTCGCTTTAGTCCTATAAATAACTATACATTGTTTCATTCTTATCTTCAGGCAAGATTATCTTGCTAAACAATGTCCGTGGATAAAAGTGGACCAAATAATCATAAAAGTAATAAAATATAAGTTAACAAATAAAATTCTTCAGTTTTAACATAATAAGGCGTGCTTTGAATCCCCATGACCAGGCTCCGCGATCCTGTATAACGATGCTACGAAGCGAACATACGTTTTTTGAGACAATTTTTACACAACACAATGAACCTCATGTCTCAAGGTAACCTATTCAAATAATGTTGTTTAATAGGATCCCGATAATACCAAATGGTTCGTATAGAAAAAAGGGTGCCATCATCTGGGTTTCCCTAAAAGAGGTAACAGATCATCACTTAGCCGTTGTCAAATCAATGCGTCAATTAAATAATAAACATGAAGGAGCGCCAGGGATGGCTGAGTGGCAGATTCCGTCATCATTCGTATTCGGTAGAACTCAGTTTATTGCAATAAAAGTCAATAAAACCTTTTGAATAATAATTATTGAAACTCTCAACAAACAATTTTCACAAAGACGGGTAAACCGACAGTTTCGTTCCAAAATACCGACAGACCGACTGACTGACTGCCAGAGACTCACTGACTGAGACGAGCTGACTGTCTGACACGGACTGGGCGTCTGACACGGAATGACATACTAACAGGCTGACTGTCTGAGACGGAATGAAACGACTCTGTCCACGTACCGCCATGGTATACTCTGGCGTTACGGAGTCTACCCTACATTTTTGTGATATTTATCAAAACAACTTTTTATCATTTACAATAATAATCAGAACAATCTCTTAATATTACTAAAGTCGTTATTCACGACAAACATATAATTAGTAATGCCCGTTGCTTCAAAAAAACTGCGCCCGATGTATAAATTCCAATCAATCAACTTCTGGAAAATCGAGCAGAACCCAAACAAAATGAATAGTCCCCGATTGATATTCGGGAAAACGCCGAAATTAAACATCGCAACGTCGGAACAAATGCAAAATTCACGCGCATTACTGTGTGTCATGCCAACTCTATCATTTGTTTGCAAATGAAAAACATTGCAGAAAAATTGAAAAAAAAAAGTAATTGTTTCGATTTGCCGTATGTCATCACTGGCAACACACAGTGTTTAAGCACTTTCTTCTTGGGCGATTTTTTATTTTTTATTTATTTTTATTGCTTAGATGGATGGACGAGCTCACGGCCCACCTGATGTTAAGTGGTTACCGGAAGCCCATAGACATCTGCCATAAATGCCGCCACCCACCTTGAGACATGAGTTGTAAGGTGGGTGGCGGCATTTCAATTACTACGGCGTTCAATTACTACCTGTTCATAGATATAAGAAAACTGTTAAGGAACGTTTGTGCAACAAGGCATATTATAAAGTTAAGGATTTTTTACTAGATGGCACTACGTGGGAATGAGGCGCTCGCTCCGGGCCTTTTCATTTTTCATTATTTTTTTTTTTTTTTATTGTATTTTTTGACTTGTTTTTTCCTTTATTGTAAATATTTTTATTTATTTAAAGAAAAGAAAATATTTGAGAAAAAACAAAAAAAAGCCCGCTGAGTTTATTTCGCCGGTTCTTCTCAGGACTGTGGCTTTTTTTGGAACCGGTGGTAGAGTTAACATTGTTATTTGTATTTTGACATTCAACAAGTGTGTCATACTGACATCTAAGTTGAAATAAATGATTTTGAATTTGAATTTTGAAGGTCTCACTTTTAATAGAACAACGGCTGCGCTGCCCGTCAAACCGAAACGCATTACTGCTTCACGGCAGAAATTGGCAGGTATCTACCCGTGCGGACTCACAAGACGTCCTACCACCAGTAATGGCGGTAGTTAACTAAATGAGCATTTTCCCTTTAAAATGAACAACAATGACTGCGTCCGAGCCATACAAGCTTTGTACATTAATCCGATTATTTGATGGACTACCCCATAATTGCGTAAAGATAATGAAATAACACCGTGCGTTAAATTGTCAAAAACATATACATTTATGTATGTATATGTTTTTGACAATTTAACGTACGTATGTATGAATTACACGCGTCCCGCCCGCTCAGAAGATACATAAACTCGTAACAAATGACGTCATTGGAGAGCTCTCAAAATGCATACAAAACAAAATAAAATACGTGATTTACAGAATAGCATTTTGTACGCGGCGTTAGGACGCAAAAACCGCGTCACCGCATTCACAACAATGACTTAGTATTTATATAAAGTAGAATCATTAGCAAGTACTTACTCGGGGTATAATCAGTTTCGCACTTTTAATGTTAAGCGCGCGACACACCGGTGCTATGAATCTGCAACAATTTTCAAGAATTGTAATTTAAAATTTAAAAATTTGAATTACATTAAAACTACTACTACTACTAAATGAATTTGAATTACGTTAAATTGTTGAAAATATTAAAACGTCTAGCCAATAATATATCGGCTAAAATCTTATCAAGCGTTGCAGTTATACCTGAGGTTAAACCCTGCACTGGTACGAATAGTTCTAATCAAACACGTAGATAACATAGTCACGAACGACTTTCACCATGAAAAAATATAATGGCGTAAAAAAGAATCCAACAAAGTTTATAAATTTGGTAGTACAAGGCGAGTTACACAGGTCCGTAGCGGTCCACCAATATCTGCAAAGCACTCATACGTTCTAGTTTTAAGGACAACGATAATAAATTTCAATTGAACATTCATACCGTTAACTAAATGTATTCCACTATGGGCCGATGGATACCGAAATTTTGTTTCAATACATTGAGTAGTGACCGAGCTGTTCATGCCGTAATGCTAAGCCAACAATTAATGGGCTTGCCGTTCGATCATTACGTATGTATCGAGCATAAGTAAAATATTAATGCAGTGCCGCATTGCGGGAGTGAGCAAGGCCAGAGTATGCCTCGGACAATGCTGGGCTACACGTTACGAGGATTAAAACTCGATGCCTTTCTTTTTAAAAGTATTTTCACTCGCCTTCAAAGACGTTCCTCTTAATTTCTTTGTTGTTATATTACTAAACTAGCGACCCGCCCTCGCTTCGCTTCGGAAACATTAAAACACACATGAAACCAAAAAAATAAAATAAAAAAAATAAAAAAAAAGTAGCCTATGTTCATCAGGGATAATGTCGGCTTCTAATGGAAAAAGAATTGTACAAATCGGTCCAGTAGTTTCGGAGCCTATTCGAAACAAACAAACAAACAAATCTTTCCTCTTTATAATATTATATTAGTATAGATAGTATAGACTAGCCGTACTCGCCCGCCTTGCTGGGCATTTAAAATTAACATTATTATTTATTGTCATTATTATTAGGGGGTCCAAACACTCATATAAATATTAGCCTATCAAATTAAGTACATGTATTTACTAGATGGATACCAAGTTTCAAGTCAATCGGATGCATGGTTCAGTAGTTATAACGGAACATCCGTAAAAACCACTGTAGATTTATATATTAGTATAGTTTTTTTTTATTGCTTAGATGGGTGGACGAGCTCACAGCCCACCTGGTGTTAAGTGGTTACTGGAGCCCATAGACATCCACAACGTAAATACGCCACCCACCTTGAGATATAAGTTCTAAGTTCGCAAGTATAGTTACAACGGCTGCTCTACCCCTCAAACCGAAACGCATTACTGCTTCACGGCAGAAATAGGCGGGGTGGGGGTACCTACCCGCGCGAACTCACAAAAGGTCCTACCACTAGTAATTACGCAAATTATAATTTTGCGGGTTTGATTTTTATTAGACGATGTTATTCCTTCACCGTAGAAGTTAATCGTGAGCATTTATTAAGTACGTTCATCATTAGTAAAATTGGTACCTGTCTGCGGGATTCGAACACCGTTACATCGCTCGATACGAATGCATTGGGCGTCTTATCCTTTAGGCCACGACGTCTTTAAGACATTACTAGATAATGATTACAAGTATGCCTTGGTTTGTTGTCTTTGCCTTTTGAATATACTTTTTTTTTATTGCTTAGATGGGTGGACGAGCTCACAGCCCACCTGGTGTTAAGTGGTTACTCCATAGACTTCTACAACATAAATGCGCCATCCACCTTGCCTATAGACAGCATAGCATTGTTTATTGTACACCAATATGAAATATATTTTTTTATTGCCTTTATGGGCAGACGAGCATACGACCCACCTGATGGTGAGTGGTTACCGTCGCCTATAGGCAAAACCACTTCAAAGTCGTCAGCAATGCCAGGGGCAGAGCCGAGCCGCTGCCTACCGTTGCCTATCAAAATAAATAAATGCAAAAATTACAACAGCGGTCTTAATATGTATTAAAAGTGATCTCTTCCAAACAACCCTCAGGTGTGTCTAGGTCGTGTCTAGCTTGAAGTGTTAACCACTCGATGCACTATGCTTCTCCAAGTCTTCCTGTCCTCGGCGGTATTTATAGCCTCTGTTCTGGGCAGGCCGGTGAGCGTCTTTACCAGATCAGACCAGCGGGTAGGTGAGCGTCCGCGTGATCTTCTCCCCTCATCTTGACCAAAAATCATCAACCTCTCTAAGAATCATCTAAGGAAAGAAATTAAACGCGCTGTACTTACAGATTGAAAAAAGAATATGTATGTAAATTTTAATATTATTATGGAATTCTGACCTCATGCCACAACGGTGTAGAGGCGTTCACACTTAACATCAGTTGAACGGTGAGCTGTTAATTTACGACAACAAAACAAACTATAATCTACAAGGAGATATATAACATGAGATTTATTTTTTAATAGAATTTTTTTTTTTTTTTTTTATTGCTTAGATGGATGGACGAGCTCACAGCCCACCTGATGTTAAGTGGTTACTGGAGCCCATAGACATCTACAACGTAAATGCGCCACCCACCTCGAGATATAAGTTCTAAGGTCTCAGTATAGTTACAACGGCTACCCCACCCTTCGAACCGAAACGCATTACTGCTTCACGGCGGAAATAGGCGGGGTGGTGGTACCTACCCGTGCGGACTCCCAAGAGGTCCTACCACCAGTGATTACGCAAATTATAATTTTGCGGGTTTGATTTTTATTACACGATGTTATTCCTTCACCGTGGAAGTCAATCGTGAACATTTATTGAGTACGTATTTCATTNGAAACATCTCTTTTCGTTTCCTTTTAAAATTTCTCGGGATTCTATGATAGAATCTTCTTTGGTGAATTCCAATTCATTTTTAATTCTTCGGGTTAATTCGTCTAAATTTTTCTTTTCTACGTCTATATTGTTCCAAATTGATTTGAAAGTATTAAATTTTTCCGGTAATAAATTTAAAATTTTGTGCATAAATGTTTGTTCTGAAATTTTGTTCTCTTTACTAGTGATTTCAAACTGTATGTTTTGTAATTTATTTATATCTTCTAATATGTTTCCTGAATATTGCATCTCGAAAAAATTCATTACGTGTTTTATATCTTGTCCTTGTATATTATAATCATACATAAAATCTAATTTTTCAAAAATTTCTATAATTGTTTCCAAATTAATTACATAATGTAAATATTTTTCTTCAATATAACTAAATATTATAAATTTCCCCTTATTTTCCAATTTTTCCTCATTTTTACCGTCTATTTTTATACCCTTTGTATCCAGCAATAATTTAATTAGCATTCTCCAAGCTTTATAATTATCCTTATTTGTGAAAGGTTTTATCTTTATTGAATCCATGTTTGGTTGCTATGAATATTCGTATATAAACAATTTGGTTTCCACGGTTATAATGTCGTCTTTTAAACAGCAAAATATAATAAATATTACCTTTTAAATTTGTTCTGGGCCCATAACCTGTTGGACGGTTACATTTGAGGGGATTGGGTTCTGTAGATGATGAGGGGCTATTTAAAAACACAACTGCTTCATTATAATTATATTGCAGATTGCTTGAACACTTTTAAACCATTATACAATTATTATCTTTATATTTTTTATAAAAACTATTACATGTTTTTCATGCCGTGTCTAGATGAGAAGTAACTGACATTTTCTTACGAGAATACAATGATCTGTTTTTTAAAACATTTAAAATAATTCCAATATTCGAAATCTAATCAAGTGTCAAGTGTTGCCTGCCATTACATTTAATATACAAACTCCAACATTAAAGACAAATGCCTGCTGTTGAAATTGAATAAAAATTTGCACAATACACGTGATTGATTTGATGCTTTCCAATTGAAATGTTAGGAAACGAATAACTAATTTTTTTTTACTTTTTTTTCACAATTTCACAGTGAACAAAATACCGGTTTGTCATATGAAATTAACTGGGGGCTTATTCCATAGATTATACACTTAATATATGCTTATTCCGCCCCGACTTTAGAAAACGTCACTTTGCTGGATGTCATTTTGATAACTTACAAAACGTTTAGAAACGTTTTGAAATAAGTAGCGTTTTACAACATTTTAATTTGTTACTTTATATTATTTTTAACATAAATCAAACTAAACATATAAAATAGATTATACTGCTAATAAGCTCAAAGCTAAGAACCGAGGAAAAATAATCATAAAGCTAAATTTCTGATCGATTAAATTCTTATTTTAAATCTAATTACTAAACGAATGTTGTTTGTGTCATTAAGTGATTTTTTATGCTTTAAGGACAATTCAATTGATTAGTAGTACACAATAGACAGTTGTCAAATAAACGTGTTGCCGCTGGCGCGTTAATAAAAAGAGATTTTCCCGCTTTTCTGTTGAATTTTTTCCTGAATTTTCTTTGCTATAAACCTCACGGAGCCCGAGACCTTTCCAACGAATGCAAAACCGTGGAAATCGGTTCGTGCGTTCTGGAGTTATAGCGTCAGGAAGGAAAACCCGACTTATTTTTATATAGTAGATTATAGATCGTGGTCAGTGGCGTGCAACTGGAGAGGCCTATGTCCTATGGCCTATGTCTAGCAATGGGCCGCTATAAACTGATTATGATGATGATGATGATGATAGATAATAAAAATCCAGACAAAGAACAAACAAACCTGTTCATCACACGAATGTTTGCTCGATGTGGGAACCGCACCCACGACCCTCAGCGCAACGGTCAGGCGCTAACTGCTTCACCACCGAATCAGTAAATATATGACCACTTATTGTAGAGAAACGTGCCTGCAACAAAATCGTACTGGCAAAAATACTGCTACGTAATATCTGATACAAAATCGTATTCAAATCGAATACAAGCAATCGAAAATAGCACTGGAGTTTCCGATGCAAGGAGTTATTCGCTAGCAAGCACTCTACAAAAGGTAGGCAGGGCAACCTTATCTCTATGGCATTATGCTCATTTTTGCACAGACCGAAGGCAAAGTGACGTGCGCACGTTGAGTGGAAATCTCATGTTGTAAGAAAATAAATTTTATATTTGTAAGAATGACTTTCAAACGTGTTTCTAGAAAGATTACCAATTTATCTGGCCCAACCTCATCTTGTCTATAGTGGAAACTGGACTGTGCTGTTATTATTATTAATAATAAATATCCGATGTATCAGCTCTGAAAATAAGTGTTAAAAGTTTTTGATAGCGAACTCTTTAACGTTTTCCCAAATTGTGTGTCAAATTAATTATCTTGACATTAATCTTGATACATCTTTGTAGCTATACTTCAGTGGCTTTTAGCTGTGTTATTTGAACGAATTGCTTTAAAGACATTTAAAACTCTATTTCACTCATAATTAACATTACAAATTGCTTTATACATAACGTACCCAACTATGAATACTGATGATTTCAACCGATATCCTTTTATAGGTACATACTTCACTTAAGACTTTGTAAGTTTTATTGAACCCATTTTCACGTTCAATTTGTAAAATCGTTTACCTACATCCGACGCTGGGAATTTCTTTGCAGTTTTTTTTAAATCTAATGGCTACAATTTTCTTTACTGGTGGTAGAATGTCTTAGGAGTCCACATGATTTACGCTCTATTTTCTGCCGTGAAACATTCGTCAAACACTCAAGTTTGAACGTTTGACGTGCATTATAAATGAAAATTCAACCTCACGATTCAAGGTTAAAAAAAAAAAATTGTTTAGATGGGTGGACGAGCTCACAGCCCACCTGGTATTAAGTGGTTACTGGAGACCATAGACATCTACATCGTAAATGCGCCACCCACCTTGAGATAAGTTCTAAGGTCTCAGTATAATTACAACGGCTGCCCCACCCTTCAAACCGAAGCGCATTACTGCTTCACGGCAGAAATAGGCAGGACGGAGGTACCTACCCGTGCGGACTCACAACAGTGATTATGCAAATTATAATTTTGCGGGTTTGATTTTTATTACACGATGCGACATTAGCGTTGTCATGCTTATGGGTTCTGATGTAAAAGCGTAACTATAGATGAGTCGGACAAATCTACTACAGCTTAAATGCTATCATCATATCATTGATTGCCATCTCACTTACTTTTTCATTGGTTCACTTTGCAAACAGCTCTTTATCAGGCAATGAAATAGTCAGACGGCTATTTGAGACATCATCTCGGAATACTTTCAAACTAAAACACGTTCGCAATGTTTAGCGTGAATGTTAGTAAGGTGCGATGCGGGATAAGAAAGTCATTGGCAACGTAAATACGACCGATTTTTCGACATAACTCCGCCTGATATAAATAACATTCACGTTCTGTGGATGGTCGTACGTGACCGGGTTCCGGTCCGACCTTAAAATATAGGTTTGGTGTTAGCCAGAGTGTACATGAATACTGGCTTCGGTTCGGTCATTCTAGGCATTTTACTATTAATATAGAACGACAGATGAACTCACTCGAACCTTGCCGCGTTTTTATAAAAACGGTCAATGTGGACAAGTGCCCAGGGCGGCAAAATTTTGAAAGTGTGAATTTTTTTTTAGTCTTTTCAAGATTGCTGAATATAAATAATTTATTCTATTAATTAATAATTTTCTGTTTAATTGATAATACAAAAAAATCAATTCATCCATTATTTGTGATTTATAATTTTGGCATTTTTGGTAAAAATTATTAACCAAAAATTTTTTTTTTCGTAACTACAAAAAAAAATTTTTGGTTAATAATTTCCACCCGTAATTTCCACCCATAATTTCCACTCGTCCACCCATCTAAACTTAGATGGTTAGCTCACGGCCCACCTGGTGTTGAGTGGTTACCGGAGCCCATAGACATCTACAACGTAAATGCTGCCACCCTTTTTTTTTTTTTTCGAGCCGGGGGCCGATCCTCCTACGAGGTCCCCGCGCCTAGGGGGCGCGCGGGGTATGTGAGACTCAACGATCTGCAGGTGTTGAGAGCAGATCGCGGGCCCAAGGATTTTAGGGCCCACCCACTAAACGACTCCCCTGCACTCTTACACCCGACGTCCGAAATGCGCCACCCACCTTAAGACTCAGAGTTCTAAGGTCTCATTTGTAGCTCGGCTGCTCCACCCTTCAAACCGAAACGCATTACTGCTTCAGAGCAGAAATAGCGGCAAAATTATTTAATCAATTTATTTCCTTGGATCGATTTTTAAATTTTTTGGAATTCAAGAAATTCAATTAGTATCAATTTTTTTTTGATATAATTTAATTATGAGTCATCCTTAGTGCCAAATTTATAATTCTTAGAAAAAAGACCAATTACTTATTGATGTTTTTGGAATATATAACATATAATAAAGTTTCTGCAATAAATTAGGTATTCAAATTAAAAAATTTTTTTTAATCTACTATGAGTTTAAGTAAAATTCCATTATTGGGGCGTATTTTTTTCCGGTGCCCAGGAGCGGCATTAAGCTTAAATACTGCCCTGTATATACCGCTGTACCTTTAGAAACAAACTGGAATTTTTACATACATAACGGGAACAACTTTATCATGGATTGCGATCAGCTGTCACTCCTAAAAATAGCCTACGTCTCTAAAACATACAAGCTCTGAGCTAAGCGGCGTCGGTAATATTACTGCAGCATATGCTCAATTTTGTCTTATGATTATCGATCTGTTCTTTACGTAATACTAGCCCTTTGTCGGTGCGTTTTTGGATCGCTTACTCCGTAATAACTTTATCGATTTGAATTCAGTACATAACGATGTACGGCAAAGGTTGGGCCAAAAGTTGGCATTTGTTTTATTTATATTGGACCAAACTAAAAACATAATTAGTACAAAAGATAAGCCATACTAGGATCACGTTCGTCCGTGGTGTGCTTAACGACATATTTTTTGTCAGGTACCATCCGGCTTTGAATTGAACTTCCTTTCACGGTATTTTCTCAGCGATATGCTTCATCAACCGAAGTTTGATCAGAACAATTAGCGAATGAACACAGAACCACCAAACAACAAAAGTATATAAAAGTATATAGTACTTATAAAACCAAGCTAGCGTAAAAACGATTTTATGCATTCTGAACGAAAGCCAACATTCTGATGTGTGCAGAAACGATGACTCCGCTTCTTCTGGAGATGCTCAACTTAAATGTGATATCTTGCGTTTGTTTTTGAATAAAATAATGTAAGGAAAAACGATCACGAAGTTACGAACAGTTACAATATATCCTGACACGGCAACAATGAAAAAAATGCCGATCGCTTATTCTGAATTCACTAAAGAAACCTTAGAACTTATATCTCAAGGTTGGTGGCACATTTACGTTGTAGATGTCTAAGGGCTCCAGTAACCACTTAACACCAGGTGGACTGTGAGCTCGTCCACC